TCACTGCTCAATTTTTGGGATTGGTCACTAATAACATTTTACTATAAAAGTACGTAGTTAAAATTTTATGGGAGGTATGTCCGAAGGTTTAGTTATAGTGTTCGCAATAGGTATGTTCTTTGAGGAAAATTGTTCCTTGTCACAAGTCACTGCTGAATTTTCGATATTGGTCCCTAATAACATTTTACTATAAAAATAGGTAGGATAAAGTATTTTTGTGACGCATTCCCAAAATAAACATTACAAGCAAATATTGTTTTGACGTAACTTTGTTTGTTAATTGAAAGGTGACACTGCTTCCGTGACTAATTAAAATTGTAGGAACTTTCATTGTTTTAATTTGAATGTGTAATTAGAACAAATACAAGGGAGGGTCAAAATCTAAAGAATTGGTGTACCTACAAACATGCTTTATTCAAATGAAGGACAGGTAACAACAAAATATTGTTTACACCCAATTTCAAAAACACTTCCCGTGTCAGGTAAAAACAAATGTTTCATGTCCTGTTTTTGATATGTTAATAATGAGCTCTTCAAAGATCTTTGATTTAAAAGTTTTCAAACATAACCACATTCAATAGATAACACATTACCTAAATAAACTTAAATAATATTAATTGTATTTGATCTTATGGCAGTCACATCTCATATTTTGCCTTCGCTTTCGAATGCTATCAGATCGCGCGCAGACCTATAGGTAGGTACCTATGTGTTAATTGATGTGATTGCCTGGAGGCGTAGTCACGTCAGTGAACTCATTTGTCTGTATTTGTGTACATTAGTTAGTAGTATCAGCGGTAGGTACCACATAATTAGTATTAAATTATAGTATTTTTTTACTGGATAAAAGTAATCGAGTGAAGAAATAACCGGTTTCATTTGATCCTCTAAAAGGATAACTAGAAGTGCTAAAAATTATGTAAGTAACACCTATTGCGGGTTCTTCGTGCTATTACGAACTGTCAAAGCTTTCGCAAACTTTACTAGTGTCACCTGCAACATGTGCTAAAATCTAGGTACCTACTTAGTTTCTAACACTAGGCTCTAACCAACAATAAATGTTAATAGTATTTAGATATGTACTAAATACTATAGTGAATTTTGCAAAAATATTACCTTAACCAACTTTACACTAATGAACTTGAATGACACTATGTTTTGACCACTGTATGGTATCTACCAAAATATTATATGGTCCTGATAATTTAGATACAATTTATAATAAAATGAAAAACGACCACTATTTTCCGTGGTCTGTGTTATGCGCTACAAATTGCACACTACAGTTTCTTTTCTGAGATATTTTAAAGAATATCTAACAAAATAAAAGTGTCCTTACCGTGTCCATAAGGTCGACGACTTTGAGTAAATAGTAGAAATTGACTAGACTCGCCACTTTGAGCGCTCGAGGATTATTTGAGAAGTCGACAGGTTCACATATCCATTTGTAGTCCCAGCCCCATGCATACCATAATGACTGGAACAGAAAAAAGAGTACATTAAAAGGATATTTTTCAATAGCTAATTTGAAATCAAGAAGTACTCATGTCAGTTTGGGCCTGTGATTTTTACTGACTCTTTGTTTCGAGACACTGAAGTTTTTTGACAAAGCAATTACTCAAAATTAAGTTTAAGGCACAAGTTATAAAAGTAAGTAGGTACTATACCCATACATGCAAAAAGTATCATGTTTTTTTACGTCATTTTTGTAAACCAACTAATACCAAACCCAGACGATAATCACTGTCGTCAAATTATATCTTAAAATATAAACATTTTATAAGAAAATCTCTCCTTTTACTTGCATTGTATACAACATTTTAGTATACCTAGCATTTTTATTGTACTTATTTACATAGAATGAGACTTACTCTATGTAAATCCTAAAGCATTACTTCCAAAGTAAGTACATACCATAACAAAAAGGTACATGCACGCCACCACCTGCCCAGCGTTGTACACTATGAGGATTTTGTCCAGGTTGAAAGGTTTTCTGTTCTTCATCCACGCTGGGCCCCATTTCAGTACGAACATGAGGTAGAGGGCTAGTAGTGTGAGACCCTGGTAGGGTTTCGCTACTAGAAACCATGATTTGGTTCGAGGATCTGAAATAGACATAAACAAATTTTTTACATTAATTTAATACAAGCAAGGCATTTTATATAAGGGCAGGCAGATGATGATGACAAGCAGATTTTTAGAAAACAAACACCAGATTGCGGTAATTTCAAAGTTGTATTATTTTTCGATAAAAATCCATCATCTTGAATTTATGTTTTTTTTACATAGCCAGTGTCACTCGCGCTGCTGAAACAAATCTAACGACACATCACATAATAAGATTTCTCGTCTACATACATACTTTCGAAAAACATAGGTAACCCTCCTAAGGCAGTCGGGTAATCTATCTCTCTTCGTGTGGGACACCAAGTCGTTCAACGACCCGATGAACCCAAGTGTCAAAGTAGTACAACAACTGTGAGCGAAAATTATTACCTACGTAAGGTTAATTAACCTGACTAGCTCTTAGGTAGCGCTATACCTAATACAATTTTTTATTTATCTATTGAGAGGTAGACGTAGAAAGTCTGTAGATTCATTTCCTGTGCCTTTCAATAGACAATTAATTTGAACCTATTCCATGGACTATACATTAAAGAATGTTAGTTCATTTTATCATTTATCGATTGTACGAAAAGTAACATGATGCGTCGGTTCTGGTTACTGCACTTAGTAGGCTGGTGTAAGGTAGAGTTTACATTTACAATTAAACGCTAGATGCTACCTAACACCAGAGAGTTGTTTTACTACACCGGTAAGTCTGGACATTTATGGAGCTATGACAAACAATACATATTATGGAGGTTTTTTATTGGTTACATGTATAAATGAATTTCTTTGATCCGTAACCAATTAATCTATTTATGGGTTAGAATTTCAGCTATTTGGACAATATGCGAATAAATACTGTTGTCATACTTCCAACAATCCGAAATCAAACTAAACGCCCCTTGCTTTCGTAAAAGCCTGAAAATGAAGACTACTTAATGAATTATCAATAAAAATAATTTGCATTGTTATTATTTGATTTATTATCATAAATATAAAATTATTCCTGCTATGTGTATTTTTACCCTGTAAATTATACAGTCGGAAACAATTATGGTGCAAATACCTCACATTTGAAATTCCTTTGCGGTTTCCGTGACTCTAGGTGTAGGAGAAGACCGTGATTACTTGTACGTATATAAAAATAGTACTCCGCAGTAAATAGGTACATTATGAGGGGCGTTCAAGGTGTTTTCGTTGTAGAAAGAAAACTCGGAAAAATTGAGACAAAAATCCATTATTTAATATAGTTTCCTACAAATTCAACACACTTATGAGATCGGGGTAATGATTTCTCAAAACCTTTTAAAACATATTCTTCTGCCGCAACTTCAAAATGTGCATCAATTGCTGCCTTCCTCTTAATCGTTGGGAACTCGTTTCCACAAGGATCTATTTTTAACTTTGGAGGGAGAGATAACACCTAGTCACTTCTTCGAACCCACAGTCACCTTCGAGTGCTTATTCTCTATTTTTCTACGATTTATATGTTTCTTTTCAAAATGATAGATGCTAATAGCATTCCGTTAATTAATTTCATTTCATATTACTATTCCTGTTATACAGGGGAAATGTTAACACGCAACATTGGTCAAGACATTTGAACTTGAATCGACCAATCAGAGCGTGTTATTCCGCTTACACTCGGGCAACCCACAATATCTACCTACTTACCTACACATGTTTGATATCGCTTACCTACATTTTACAATAGGTAAGTATAAGGTAATTCTCAAAATATAGGTACCTATTTAAAATTTGCTTTTTGCATTCAAACAAAAGCTAAAACATCGATTCCCTATTATACAAGGATTAACAAAAAGGGTATAACATGCCAAAAAAAGGTTAAGGTACTCATGAAACTTAACAACTTTCCTTTCAACTTTTAAAATAGGAAAAAAATTTGGACTTCCCATGACCCATACAATTTTTTTTTTTATATTGTGAGTCATGTTCCATAAGGAAAGTTATTCAGTTTCATGAGCACCTTCATTTCGGCTTTTTCATTTAATATACCCTTTTTGTTACATTGTAAAGATAATTATGATTTTTATTGTTTGTTTGATTTAAAGCACAGATTTAAAGTAAGCGATTTTATGACTGAAAGTTTAGTATCTAATTGTAAACAATAGTTTCCTGGAATGACAATTTATTATCTATACAGTTGTAGGTACACGTAATCAAGTTACTGGGTAAAGATAAGTCTTTGTCTGTTACGAAGTCTCTTCTTGATGTCTTATTTTCTGTTCTGTAGATATTGCAAACACGTACCAGCAATTTTATGTTTATCATTGAGGTGAATAACAACGGCAGCATTGAGATGTGATCACGGTATTTCTAGATCAAGTGCCTACCCACCTTGTACAGTATTTTAAGACAAGAAACCTATATTATGCCATGTGATGCCGGCTTAGAATGTCATCACCCCATATCTTTCCCGTGGATGTCGTAAGAGGCGACTCAGGGATAAATTCATCCAGGGGTTCAATCCCTGGATGAATTTCACAATCGCATTGCAACATCTTGCATTGCGCTCAGCAACCCGCCTGCCAAATGTGGTGAGTATGGCAAATACCCCCCCTAATAGGGGGAGGCTCATGTTCAGCAGTGGACTTTATTGCGGCTGTTATGATGAACCTATATTATGTGAATAACTAAACATGAACACAATAGTTTGAATATATTAGGATTTTTTATGCACATACAGTGCTATATTATTCTCACAAGGTAAAAATAAGAAAATAAGAAAAAAAACACCATTGACCACAGGGACTTGAACCCGGGACCATGGGGAACCAGCCCACTGCTCTTCTAACTGATTTGCGGGTGTCTGGCTGACCCTGATGAAATTTTCAACTTCTTGAAGCTTGTCTCGAAGCGACATCTAGTAGTAGCCCGTAACTCAGTTGACAGAGCAGTAGGATGGTTTCCCACGGTCCTGGGTTCAAGTCCCAGCGGTTTGCTGATGAATTTTTCAATTTCCTTATCTTTAATTTACGACAAAAGTAGTTTCAATTAAAAGTCATCATTTTTTTTATTACACGTAGAAAATAAGATCAGATTCGTCTATGCTATGAGAGTTTAAGACTCGATTCCACGTTTGTAACTGTAATTTATAGGTGAAGTACTAAAATTTTATTGTCACTGTCTGTCACAGGACGATCAGGATAGCTCTCACTGCATATTATCATTTTACGTTTTTCGGTCTTTGTCTTCTCTATCTACTCTTAATACTCTATTGCCCGTATTTTTAATCACTGGCGGACTTTGACGATTACCTACTGCGTAAAACACAAAAAACATAGCGATAGCAAATTTTTGTATAAGTAGGTAAGTTAGTAAAATTAGGCCAGTGTTGTACGTGTAGGTAGTAAACATTGTAGTATCATTTGATAACGAAACTTGTAACTTGTAACCACATTACTTAAATAAAAGAAACGCATTTTTCATGTAAGACATAAGCAAATCTATTGGCGTTTAGGTACACGCAAAATTATATTTGCAACGATTTCATTCTACATCCTGAGTGAAGCAACACATCGTACGATAAATTGATATAACCCTGATTTTCTTGCAATCATCAGGAAAACCGAAACTTAGTCTAAAGTACAGACGAAAATGTAGGTAAATAAATACGGCCTTGTAAGTATTCAGACTGGGACAGCTCTCCGAAGGAATACTGATTCAGACCATAAAACAGACCAACGTCCATTCAAAACATTTGAGGTAAAGTAAAAAAAAAAAAATTCTCTTAGTAATATTGAGTCATGTTTCAAGAAGAAAGTTCTTCTGTTTCGTGGTCTAAATGCACACTACTTATCATTAGTCGGAGATGTCCTTTGGTACAAAGCCTCACGCACGTACGACTAAGGCGATTTACAAAAATAACGCATGCGTTAAGAAAATACGAATTTCGCGTATATAAGGCCGTAAAACGGCCATTTACACCACGTCTGATTAATGTTTCAAAGTCATTTAGAAGACTGTGTATCACCATTGTGACAAGTTGTCAGCCTTTGGCCTAAAACTGTAATACAAATCAACTTTCAAAGATTTAGGGACCCACAAAAAGCAAGTGCTGGTTATAATTAAACTAAACGTTACTGGGCAACTATAATCAGATGACACATCGTTATGAATCATGTTGTAGGCTTCAAAATAATGATACTCCTTTTTCATCATCATCATCATATCAGCCATAGGACGTCCACTGCTGAACATAGGCTTCCCCTAAATATTTCCACCTTGTCCGATTAGAAGCAGCCTGCAACCAGCATTTCTCAGTGGAATTGACAGATCGTCTGTCCATCTCGCCGTCCTACTCCTATGTGCTTGTAAAATCGCAGGCTATTTCAAGTTCACTATCAACATCCAACATATATTTGACTTGTCACGTAAATCATACCTAGGTAGTCGTATGTGAAAAATATTTGACAACAAATACATACCCTATATTTTAACACAATATAGCACATGTATGTCAGAAAACTCGAAAATTAACATAATTTATCATATATCAAAGCTATATCAATATTAAATATAAGTAATAAATTTAGCCGCGGTATAAAATTTTATGCAGTAAAACCTAAAGATTAATAAAAGACCTTAAATATACTAAAAATGCGTTTTAGAAATACAGAGGTGTTAAAATCAAAGTTTCAAATTCTTCTTCACGCTTAGATCAGCATAAGGCTACTACAAAAAGCAGAAAAAGCAGCTTAAGCAGAGTGGATTATTCATTGATGCTTCAAATGGTCCCTGACATCACGTCCCTGATCTCAAATGTGACTAATTATAAAAGACAATGACTGACCGTAACCTGTGAGGGTACCATTTGTTCTTAGTAATTTAGGCGCATGCCGGTTAAACTGCAAGGTGAATTTCTAAATATTTCGGATAAAAGATAGTTTTAATTATTGTTTAATTTCTTTTAGCCTATCCAAAAAAAACAGTTTTCTCTTAACTGCACATATTGTTATATTTTTCATAATTATCATAATTTGATAAAAAGTTGACATTTGACGTTCGGCGTCAATTTATCCAGGGCATTGCATCTTCTTGTTGAATATATTTTTTTAAATCTAGTTTTACGTTTTGTTTTGATAAGGCTAAAAACTTATAGGTACCTACAATTTTAAAGATTTGACATTAAGCAACTTTGCTAAAGAAATATTGAGTCAAAATATGAAAAAAAAGGTGACCAAGGGAAGCAGAATTTTTCTTAGTAGGTACCAAAAATAGTTAAAAAGGACCCCGCACGATTAGTTCGACGAGGGCCGTCCTTCGTAATACTCTCAACAAGATATAAAAAAAACAGCGAGCAAAAATGACCAGTTTTTGAGATATAGCTATTTTGATGTTGAAGTCACAAAACATACTTTGATGTAAAATCGTAACTCATTAAGTCAAATGTCATATTCTCACTTGTTTTTTACGTTCATCTGTATCAAACCAACCCACGAGGTAATTATTTCGATCGTAAAAGTCTCTTTTTCAGGTATCTTACACATAATATATCAGCAAGGCAAGCCAGATTGCCAAAGCTTTACGAGATACAGCAATGGCACCAAAGCAAAAGCTGTTCAGCATGGTGGATTGCTCCCGTTAACAGATTGACATCGAGGTTCTAGCTTACCTGATGTAGACCACTAGAACCTCATCTTAACTATAAATAATACGAAAATGCTTGGTGGTCTGCATCAGGTACTCCAGAACCTCGACGTCAATCTGTTAACAGGAGTGGTCCACCATGCTAAACAGCTTTTGCTATACAGACATTTCTGTATATTTTGTGAATTGGATGAGGTTCTGGAAGTCTACTCCAGACTCTTGGTATCCATGTGCCAAAGGAAGCGGCCTATCGTACTAAACAACTTTTCCTTTGGAGCCATTGCTGTATCTCGTATAGCTTAGGCGATCTGGCTTGCCTTGCTGATATATTATGTGTAAGATACCCGAAAAATACACTTTTTTGATTGAAATAATTACCTTGTGGGTTGGAGTTATACAGATAAACGTAAAAAATTAGTTAGAATATTACATTTGACTTAATAAGTTACGTTTTCACATCAAAGTATGTTTTGTGGCTTCAACAATAAAATAGCTAGTTATATCTCAAATACTGGTCATTTTTGCTCGCTGATTTTTTTATATTTTGATGAGAGACTTACTATCTTTTCCCAAAACTTCAGCCAATTTGACCGGACGGCCCTTGTCGAACAAATCGTGCGGGGTCCTTTGCTTTGTTATTCAATTAAATGTTTTAGCTCTTTTATTCCGTTTGCGGTTTTGGTACGGCTAGCGGCTAAGAATCATAACACTCCTAGTCCATTCATGCTGTTTCGAAAAAGGAGATGTAGAGTTTTTGACCTCGGCTGAATATCTGTCTGGTCAACCGCATGGTGGCGGTGATTGCACGTACAATAGTATTCCCAAAGAGGATAGACGTAAAGCAAGCGGCCGCTCATAAAACATTGCCTAATCTATTTGCTATGTGATTTTGTGTCCTAACAAAACATGTTGCACCGATCCCAACTGATTGGGATAAGGGCAGAGAGACGATAAAGCTTTCTTATATCAGTAAGAAATTCAATATTGGTCCCTCAAATGGGTAGGTTAATACGTCTACGTTTTTTCAATCACGTTGCCCAACATGAGAACTTGATGTTTTATTAATTAGAATACAATAGGTGCATGATCGTGAATTTTTTTTCTACTTGACCCGTGGATGTTCATTGTCACTTTGGTAACGTAACTAGAACACACCGTTTTATATTTATTTTGAATAAAATTAAAGTATTTACACTTTTACGCCAGAGTGCTATGTTATTTCCGAGGCTGAAAAATAGATACACATACCTACTTGAATCATTTCATTATGCAAACTCTATAACTATTTGTCATGCGTGGCGATAACAGATGATTTTTGCGATCATTTGGCTCTTCACGTGTGATTATGATAATAGGTAAGTACAAAAAAATTACAGTGGCTGAAGCTTAGTGTGACTGGTGGCAAACGTAGCGTCATCCGCAATATAAGCTTTCGTTACAGAAGGAAGGCATTCTATGTTTAATACAATTGATTCAGAAAGTTCCAGGTCCATAAAGTTGATAGATCACTTTGTGAATTAGTACCCAGCCCGGCTAGAACATTGCAGTGCAGGCCGAACCACCTGAATGTACGAAAAAAGGTTTCAACTGCTGACAATACGATATTTTGATTACCTTTACTTAGATGGCGAACGTTACACAGCCATGTCAGAGGACTAGGTCCTAGGCCTACTACCTGCCACTTGTAAGCGTTTGTAAAACTGTGACACTAGAGTTCATCGGGTCATTGGATGACTTGGTGTTCCACACGAAGAGAGAGAGAGAGAGAGAGAGGAAGCAAGAATCGGAGATATGGTGTCAATTTCGTAAATACAAATTGAAACTAAGATTTTTTAAACAATAGAAAGTGGAGTCACATCAGGCTGAGCTAACCCGCACCGCATGAATTTCCGGTATTTTGTCGGATCCGGTATTTAAACCAAAATTCTATGATAATGATGATCTCTCAGCCGAATCCGAATCTCAAGTCGATTTTGACTATGTCGACGACTTTTACTCCTGATCAAGCCGGCGCTGATCTAGATGAAAATTCTTTATTAAAACCGGATACTATGGCACGCGTCATCACTTCAAATTGCGGCTGTCACATATTGTCAGTTGTATGGTGTCACTCGAACCGCAATAACGTCTGCGATTCAACTTGAGGTGAATCTCACACGGTGTCGTATGTCGTACTCACTCACGAAAGTTGCATGACAACATTGTGATGTAATAGAGTCGCAAATATCACTCCAAAGGACATTAAAATACTTGTACTGACAAGATTTTTTTTGCACCCACTCGCTGCAGTCGGGGTCTTAAAAGGTTGTGTTAGTAATACTACCCTGGCCTTTGAAACTAATTAATTTTAAAA